ATGTAAAACTAATGTTCTCCCATGTAAACTATCACATAATTCACAATAAAACATTTAAGAAAAAAAAAAAAAGAATACAAAATTTGTAACCATATTTAGGGGTTGAGCAGAAACTAATAAAAAAAAACACAAAAAACAGGCCAACAAAAAATAAGATCAAAGACAGTAATACTGTCTTCAAATTGGCATTGTAAAAACTGAAACAAACAGGAAAAAAACAAAAGGCAGTCTCAACCTAATTAATAAGTCATAACCATTGTCCTCACAATGTCTTAGTTGTGGTTGTTGTTTTTTAACTTAAAATCATGTCTCACTTGATCTGCTTGTTAGGGAAAGAAGACAATTTAAAGGATCTATTTGTTCTATACTACAATTGATCATAACTAAAACACAGTTACCAAAAATTTAACAACTCATTTGATGTTTGAGTCATGAAAGGAAACTCCTTTAGAAGCAAATCTTCTATCAAAATATATTAGGAAACAAGACCCTATTCAAGATTTCAATTCACATAATATGGTGACTTTTCATAATGTTGAAGCCCTGGTGTTGTACTATAGCATAAGCACTGGACTGCTAACCACAAGACTGGCGGTTCAAACCTACCAGCAACTCGTTAAAGTCCTATGCAGGGTCACTATGAGTCGGAACAGACTCAACAACCACAACTTTTATGATATTGTTCTTTTGCACGGGGTTAACAATGCTGACAATGTAACAACAAATGGAAGTATTAGAAGAATTAGATTTGCTAGCCTGGGTAGTACAAACAGATAAATGTTTAACTAGTAGTTGAGAGGTTGGTGGTTCAAACACAACTAGAGGTGCCTGGCAATCTGCTTTTGAAAGGTCACAGACTTGAAAACCCAATGAAGCAATTTCCACATGACTCAGAATTGACTCAGCAACAGCTAGCAATGACAAGAGTTTAGTCAGTTGTTAAAGTGTTATCATCTTTACAGATAAAGGTAATTCACTGAAAATAGACTGTACACAAAAGGTAGTGGACAAGAGAGGAAAATGTACTCTGCACAGGCTTAAAAACTGCTACATATCATTATATGCCAAAAAAGTACTAAATAAACACCTTCTCTATCTGCAAGAGAAAGGGGCAACAAGATCCTTGAAACTCTTAAGGAATGTGGGTAAACTAGAACAAGGTTAGTCAGTCCTGAAAATAAACTCCAAGTCTCTCTCTAAAACAGAAAGGTTGAAGAGAAGTGAAAAACAGTTTCAGTTGACAAGCACTGTAACATAGGAGTATAACATAGGAAGACTGGATTGAAATCAAGAAAAGGGCTGACTGTTCCTTCTTCTAGATGAGAACAGGGCGGAAATAATGATCACTAAAAACCACAGTAAGAATTCCTAGTGGTGTAGTGGGTTATATGTCGGGCTGCAAAGCACAACTTCAGCAATTTGAATCCACCAGCTGCTCTATGGGAGAAGGATGAGGCAGGCTTTTTGCCCCCATAAGATTTACAGCCCTGGAAACCCTATGCAGGGTTGCTATGAGTCAAAACCGACTCTGTAGCACACCACTAGTACCACCACCAAAAGTCAGTGATCTAAAATTCCATAATGGGAAGACCTCTGATACGTCTTACAAAGTACTCTATCATGTTAGAATTAAAGAATGTTACTCTAAGCTACAGAGAAGCTAAATAAGAATAACTAGGGCTTTGATTAGTGTGGGAGATGTCTAGAAAGAGTTAAGGAGAAGAATTCAACAAGGGAGTTAATTTAGAATGAATAAGAGAATTGTAGCTGCAAAGGCCCAGGCAAGGCTAGTGAGAATGAGAGTAGAGTAGCCTTCAGCCAAGTTTTGAGACAATACTTTCAGAATATCTATTTTAAGTTCAAAGTAAAAGTTACACAGCAGATATAAGTTAAAACTGGTGAAATGGAAATTTGTATTCTACTTCTAAGTCTACTATTAATACCTTGAGTACTGTGAGATTTTGTGTAACTTAGTTCACTTCTTTACCATGTTTAGACTAGAAATAACCACAGACATCTAACTCTCAAAAGCAGAGGTGGATGTGAAGGTATAAATGGCAGGGTGCAACCTAGATGCTAAAGCTTCAGAGGGCATTGACTGGAACTGTCTTGCTCAAAATTATATTCCCAAGCAAGCACATGTGGTACAAGTGCAGCAAAAATGTATTTAGCTAATGTGAAAAGTCATTTTAAAAAGATAGTATAAAATGTCATTAATAAACAATCAAAAAATAAACCCAAACATCAACTGACAGCTACATACATGGACATTCCTGGGACCATCATCAAGAGAAGGGAAAGGGTAAACTAGAGTAGCACAGGTTCCTACCTGGTTGCTTGGCTCTAGACCAGCGTAAGAATTCCTTGAACTGCAACCAACTGGGGGTGTTGCCTCTCGAATAAACTCAGACATTTCAATCCCTCCGCCAGGATCACTGTTGGGAGAGGAAAAAAATAAAGAAAAAAAGAACAATTGTCATTGCAACACCAATGATTTTATTTATTTTATAATTATTATAATTATTCTATAAAAACTAAGAGGTTGTGATTTTTAATACAACAGTTTTATAAAAAAGTAATGATCATTTTTCACTTTTAAATCTGATCATCTGAACTCTTAATCACGTGATTACTTGAAACTATTTAAAGACTCTCTTATTCCAAGCTGCGTTCACCCAACCCAAATTAGAAACTGGCCTTAATTATAATTTATAGCCTAATAAATATTTTATGGTATGTGCCATAAAATAACTCAAGCAGAGAAAGAGAAATTGCCCAACTATACACAAAAAGGAGTCCCGGTGTCGCAACGTGGATTAATGCGCTAGACTGCAAGGTCAGTTTGAACCTCAAGGTCAGTGGTTCAAGCTTACCAGCCACTCCTCACTGACTCAACAGCACGTAACAGCAGCATACACTAAAAGCAATCAGATTACTATGCCAGACTAGACAGTCTCAGTTGCATGGAGAAGAAACTCAAATTTTTTCTGGTGAAACCACTTCATCCCAGACTCGCATATGGTTTGAGACAAAGTTGACCAGCCAAAATCAATCAGCATATCCCTTTTCCCAGCCATAAGGATTAATGCAAAAACATAACCCAACAAAGACCAGGAGTGCTCCAGTGCTGAGAGAAAAAACTTTTCTGTTGGCTTAATGCCCAAAAGTTGTAAGGTCAGGAGCTGCTACAATCATCTTACCACCACTAGGGAAAAGTCTGCCTGAGAAATTAGCGAATGGAAAAGAGCAGTGCCTGGCTGAAAGAAAAGATGCAGCGACATCAGAAACAGTTAGTGACATCCTTTACATGAAGGTTTTTTAGTAATTGTTGTTATTGTTAAGTGCCGTCGAGTTGGTTCTGACCCATAGCAGCCCTGTATAGGGTTTCCAAGGAGCAACTAGTGAGTTTGAACCACAGACCTTGTAGTTCAAACAGATTTGCAATCTGGCGCATTAACCCACAGCGCCAAACCAGGACTCCTTTTTAGTAATAAGAGCCATAAATCCCTGAAACTGGTTTAAATTGAGTATTCTGACAGGTACACACACAAAAAAAGAAATCAACAAAACAATTTGTTTATAAGCATGCCTTCATTTAAGCATTTATCAATAGAGTAATTTGAATTGCTGTGTGTTTTTATTACTTATGATGCCATAACTATACTATCCCTGTTTGCACAATAGGTTCTTAACTTTTTAGGCCCATTGACCTTAGTTAACTAATGTCCAATGAAGAAAACTATCTTTCTAACTTGCTTTTCCCATTTATAAAAACAGAATGCACTACAATTCAGTTACAAATTTGAAGGCCATGTCAAAATATAAATGCCCATGTGTGAGAAGAGTGCAATAGGTTTATTTGTTAGCTGCCTACTTTTAATTTATTCAAACTTCTCAGGCCATAAAGAGAAATACTTTTATAAATTGAAAAAGAATCTTGAGTGTGCATAGAGAGGCAGCTATAAACACAATGAAGTAGTGATAAGCAGCAATAATACTATTTTATTTACTGTAAGCATTCTCTAAATTGAATTCCATGAAATCAAAAGATGGACATGGTGAAGATTAAGAAATAAAATACACACCACCACAGAAAGGAGAGTCTTCATCTTGCCTACTTCTTTAAAATATACATAACAGCTTCATTGATATATAATTCACATACTACAAAATCCATCCATTTAAGGGGTACAATTCAAGATTTTTAAAATATATCCACAGGTACAAGAGACTATTACTATAGTCAAGAATACAACATTTTCATCACGACAAATGCAAACCCTGTACCTTTTCAGCTATCACAGTACAACTGACATTTTGAGCCACAAGATCCTTGGCGGTGGGGCCTATCCTATGCACTGTAGAATGTTTGCAGCATCCCTGTTCTTCACCCATTAGATGCCAATAGCAGTTTTCCCAGTTGTAAAAAACAAAAATACCTATTCCCTAGGAAAAGCGGGTGGGGTGGGGACCATCTCCAGTTGAGAACCACTGGTCAACAGTCAACATCAAGAGTGGAAAGAAAGGAGGTAACTGAGAAAACAAAAAAGATGAACTAAAATAGATGACTCCTTTTAGAAAATCCCTCAGCAAAATTTCTTGACCTCTCCTTTTCCAAAAATTCAGAAGTATGACTTTTACCCAAATGTAGATGTCCTTGTTGTTGTTGTTGTTAGGTACCATCAAGTTGGTACTGACTCATAATGACCCTATGTATGCACAGCAGAACGAAACACTGCCCGATCCTGGGCCAACCTCACTATTGTTGCCAAGCTTGAGTCCTAAATATAGCTAAACATATAAAAGGCTGAGTAAGAGTTTTCTTTATTAGCAAGACTTGCAGGTTTTCTAGCAATGAAGATTTCAGCACATACTGGGAAGGACAGTGGTTTACAACTATCACAAAAGCAAAGTGGTCTATAGCAGTAAGCAATATACCAAATTCAGGCAACCCCTAACTTTATTTAATTCCCCCATCTGTTTAAAAAAAAACAGATACAGGGAAAGGCAGTAAAATAGGGTCTCATCTGAATTACAGAGTAGGTGTTACACAATAATTTATTAATTATTGTTAACATCAACTGTTAAGGCTTTCATCAGAAGCTTCCCAATACCATTACAATACTAAAATTGCAGATACTATAATGATGTTCATAATAGTATATTGCAGATTAAAACAAAGTCTCTAATCAAAATAAATCTTCCTTAAAAAATTTAGCACATTACTCATCTGCAGGAGTCCTGGTGTGGCACTGCAGGATAATGCACTGGACCACAAGAAAAGTTTGAGTTGCAAGGTCAGGAGTTCAAACCCACTAACTGCTCCTTGGAAACACTATACAGTGTTGCTATGAGTCAGAACCAACTCAGTGACACATTAACAACAACAACATCTGCATATAGTTTTAATTAATCTGTAATTTATAGTATTTCAAACATTATTGCTATGAATAAAGAGAAAATATGGTCTATCTCCAAAATATTTATATTCAAATTTGTTATTTTGTGTAAAATTCAATATGTTAATTTCCTTCAAAGAAGTATTATAAGTGCAATACAAACATAAATACCTTTGACTCTTTCCCTAAAATCAAAATTTAAGCTAAAGGACAAACACGTAAAACGAATGGCCACTGAAAACCAGAAAGCTCCAACAGTCCAGTCCCACTACTGTCACTCATTCACGCAAAGATGAGCAGAACTCAAAGAGGGGGTCTGCAAATAAAAGCATTTCTATTTTCTTGTTAATTTTTTTCTCTCAAAACAGAATGTGAGATACACAGTGGGAGGGGAGGGAGACAGATGTCAAAAACTAAAACCTACAACAAATAGCTTTTTTAATGGTAAAATTTACAATCATTCTTTTCAAGTTTATAAATAAGACAAGGATGTTCACTAATACCATGTCAATTTAACCATGTTCTAGAAGTGGTGGTGGTATGCCGTGGAGTCATTTCCAACTCATAATGACCCTGCAAAGGCTTTCCAAGGCTGTAAATCTTTATGGGAGCAGAAAGGCTCATCTTTCTCCCACAAACATCTGGAAGTTTCGAACTGCTGACCTTGAGGTTAGCAGTCCAACTCAAAACCACTATGCTACCAGAGCGCCTTGCTAGAAGTCATAGCCAATGAAAACTAAAACAAGAAAGAAGTGTAAGAACAAGAAAGGAAGGAAGGGAAGAAAGAAACAAGCTGTCATTTAAGAAAAGTCAAGAAATAACCTATAAAACATTATCATTAATGTGGGAGCTTAATAAGGTTCTCAGATATCAAATAAGATGCTACATATAAAAGAAAATAGAAAATGTAATTATAAAAATATTTTAAAAGGCAAAATAAAATCTAAACCAATTTGATGAAGCTAACAACTTTTATTTAAGTTTTTTAATGATATAATGATAAAACTTTACTGAAAAACTTTATAAAGATTGAGTAACTGAAGAGATTTGCTATCATAAAGTTATCAATTCTCACCAGAGCCATCTACAATAATGTAACTCCAATAGAAAGTCTAAGTTCTTACAAACCCTGATTGGTAGACTCAAAGAGTCAAAAGAAGTCACTCTTGAAAAGAAAAGAAAAAAAAAGGCAGGGAAGGGCCTGTCCCCTAGATATCAAGAGATATTTTACAAAGGAAAAAACAGATTAATACACCAGAGAACCCAGAAACATAACTATCACATGTGGAAACTTTATACAAGAAAGTACTTCAGATCCAGGGAAAAGACAGTCTGTTTAACAAATACTACAAAAACCAGTTATTCATATTTTTTTAAAAAGTAAGTCTGGGGTCCCTACCTGAAACTACACACTAAAAAAGCTTCCGATACAAGGTAGAGAAGATGGCGGATCAGGTGGAAGTGCAGCGCGGAGCTCTGCCGTCAAAAAGACAGAATACAGGGCCAAGCAGACTCAGGGTATGGTCCCAGAACTCTGAACCACATATAAAGGAATATTTAGAGGGCTGGAAGACTTACAGCTGGGGGAGTTTGTGGGACAATGAAGAAATCCAACTCTTTCTGGTTTGGGACACTCAGCTGCTCCAGGAGCAGCCATCTTGTGTGGGGCCAAGAGGGGGAAGGATCAGAGCAGTCACGGATGCCTGACAGAGCCGCGGAGATAGAGGTGTGGACATTCTCTTTTTTGGTATCTGTTCATTAGTCCCTTGCTGTCTCCGAACTGCCATTCTGGTGATTATAGGGGTGCCTGAGCTAGCGGACAGCCGAGACCCACCCTCGGAGGGTTCTACTACACATGTGCACAGATCTCCTCGAAATATGAAGAGACAGTTTCCACTTAAAACCAAACAGCCAACAGATACTCAGCCCAAGAGCAGGTCCTAAACTTGTCTTGTTTGTTTTTTCTTCTGTTTTTTAACGTGGGAAAGAGAAGGATAGAGCTGTAGGGAGGGAAAGAGCATTTAAAAGCAAAACAG